GCACACGCACACGCACACGCACACGCACACACACACGCACACGCACCCCCCGCCCCCACACACACGCGCACTATTGCACGCTGATGCGTGAAAGCAAAATCACAGACAACGACATTTAGTAACCAGTACGCAGATACCGTGGGCATGCATACAACATGTATATTATGTTTAAGGCACAGGGCTTGCTGGGAGCTTTGGATTTTGGTATAATATGCTGTTGAAGAGGTATTGACCACACTATGTAAATAAACGCTGACGACAAACGCCTTAATTGTGATGCGTAGACTGATGCTAATGCAGCGTCTAGCATTTAGCGATGCAGCTTCCGACGTGGAATATGGACCAAAGACACACACACGCACACACGCACGCTCACTCGCACACACATACGGTGACACACGCGCGCGCGGGCACAGAGATACGGGACAGGTACAGACGCACGCACGCACGCACGCACGCACGCACGCACGCACGCACGCACGCGATGGGACGAATATCAATTGAGTTTAACCACAGTTAACCACAGTTTTTGCGGGTAAACATTATCCATTGTGAGTACCATTCTCTCCATAACCGCACACGCTCACGAATAAACGTATGCGTTATGCACACGTGTGTGTTATGGGGAAACCAACGCGCGCATGCATACTCGGCAAGTGTTGGCCCACAAAGAGCTCTGTAGTCACTGGATATTGTCTCACCGAATATCCTTGCGTATAAATTGTTGTTGTTTTTTATTAAAATTAAAATTATGATTATTATTATTGCGAAGCTCTATAGACTATATATATGCGCGCGCTGTCGGACGCTGCAGTGTGATCTACAAAATTAAAACTAACGTGGAGCTAAAGAGCGTAGCGTAATGCGTGCACATTAAACACACAAATCGATATAAAGCAATTATTCCTCGGCTAACGGGTTTGACGGGTTTGAGAACTTGGCGACAGCACTTCACGCGGCCACGTAAGATTACGACGACCCTCGCGTATTTTCTCTCATTACTTTACGGTGATACCCAAATTGCAATAACTTTCAATTTGCAATAACTTTCAATTTGTGTTCACGATAAATTAAAGAACAATGCACTTAAATGAATTTCTTTATGAGGGCATCGGGAATAGTAACTCTATTTTATGTCTTCTGGGAGATTAGGAGTTATATTAATTTTATAACCAACCATAAACGTTTTGTGTGTGGGTCCGTCGGAGATCTATACAGTAAAAACCCGCGTATAAGAACATAGATTTTTCCAAGTTAGCCTCAACATGTTCTTATATAAATGGTGCTTACTGAAAAATTAGGCTCAAAAAGGTTCTTAAATAGGTTCTTAATTGTTTCTACTTTTAATATGTACTAGCTGAAACCCGCGCTACGTGTGATTGACAGAAGGTAAGAGTCATTTAGTTTATACATCAATTAGCCAAGTCTAAAAACAGTTGCTAAATGTACCCTAATTTTTTTTATATAAGAACAATTTTTATTTTTCAGGCTGAATGTGTTCTTATGTATATGCAATTTTTTGACCGCATTTCAGCCTGAGTGTTCTTAATCAACGTGTTCTCTTATGCGGGTTTTTACTGTATATGTAAATAATGCAGTACTGTGTCTCAATAACAATGCCAGGGTGCTGGCATTGTTATTGATTGGCATTGGCATTGGCATTGGCATTGGCATTGTTATTGCATCGATATTGTTGAGCTCGTCTTTTTTATTTTACCTGTGTTTCTTTTTAAGTCTTCATCTGCATGGAAAATTAAGAACCTACTTTAAAATCTTAGCCTAAAACAGGTTCTTATGTAAAGGGGTCTAAATGGGAAATTTTAGCCTAATGCTAGCCGCACACTATCCGATTTTGCACTGTGCACAGCACTAACGCCCCGCACACTATCCGACCCGATCCCGATCGATCGGGAGGCCACCGCACACTGTCCGACTCAAAGTTGACGCAAACCATGGCACTCTCGTGGCGTTCCAAGCGGATTTAGCGTGTACTAAGCGTCGGGAGTGCTTCCCATGGTTCGAATGCCATTCCATTCGAATGCGGTTCCCATGGAGCAGCTCTGTGATTGGTCAGTTTTCTTCAGCGCTCGTCGATCGGGTCGGATGGCCACGCACACTATCCGAGTCGCGTCGTAAGCCCTCGCACACTATCCGACCCGATCTGCTCCCGATTCAAAATTCGAATCGGGCCAAAATGACCTCCCGAGCCAATCTTAAGCCTCCCGATCCAAACCAGAACATCGCAAACCAATCGTAAGCCTTCAAATCACGCTCGGGTCGGATAGTGTGCGGCTAGCATTACATGTTCTTAAAATCTATGTTCTTATACGCGGGTTTTTACTGTATACTAGACTTTGCAAAATTGAAAATCCTCCAATTGCTAAAATTGCTGCATGTTCCCTGGCAGACAATATACTGTATTTGATAATAACAGAAGTAGATAATAGGGAAGGAGTGTGACTTCAATAAACAAGGGAAATTCGTCATTTACTAGCCTTAGAATACCTACGATTTACTACGCGTAACTCAACCAACTTGAGCTCAAATCGTACACATTATATTCGTCTAGCATCGTGCGAAATCGTTTCCTCGTATACACCCGCAATCCGGAGATACAGACTAAAACGTACGACACGATTATCCATTCTGTTGCCAGCAAACCGAATGTATAAACCGCCTAACTTGAAACAAAAGGCAGCTGTAAATAGGTCAAAGATTAGCTCGCCGAGTGTTGAGTCGATATCCAATCTCCCAGCGAGTCACGCCGCATCGCCGAGGCCGCAAGAGTCGTTAGTAGCTTCCTTTTGTTTTAAGTTAGGCGGTTTATACATTCGGTTTGCTGGCAACATAATGAAGAATCGTGTCGTACGTTTTAGTCTGTATCTCCGGATTGCGGGTGTATACGAGGAAACGATTTCGCACGATGCTAGGCGAATATAATGTGTACGATTTGAGCTCAAGTTGGTTGAGTTACGTGTAGTAAATCGTAGGTATTCTAAGGCCGGCTAGTAAATGACGAATTTCCCTTGTTTATTGAAGTCACACTCCTTCCCTATTATATAGCTACTTCTACTATTATCTACTTCTGATAATAAGCAACGCATGAATCGTCGTACATTCACTTCCCGCCAAAAAACGTGGTTCACTTTTTGATCAGTCAGCATTAAAAGATCGGCTGGGAACATTCATAAAGGTTAAGTGTAGACTCAGGAAAGCTTACTAGATTTCCCTCCTGAGAGTTGCCCCATCTCAATATTGTTAAAACGCGGTTGTCACTGCATGCACCTTGCTTGTTGTAGTTTCCAGTCGTCAATGAGATGGTATTATTTACATTTACGGTAAAATTGACGCCAATTAACCCTCTACGGGATTTTCACGTGATTAACGTGTTTTTACGGTGTTACTGTGATAATAAACAAGCGTAGTTTAACAGCAGCAAAGACTATAGGCGCGTTCACACTTGTAAACGTTTTTAGCCCGAGCCTAATTATAGGCCCGCGCCAAATTTGGCTCAAGCCGAGCGTTCACACGCACGGTTTTTCGGGGCCGTGCCGAGTTAGCACGAGCCAATTTGATCCCATCGAAAACGTCTGACCAGGCCCGAGCCAAATTTTAGCACCAGCTAAATCGGTAGAGCGGTAGATGCCGCGAGTGTCGAACATGTACTTCGACGAAATAAAGTCCAAAACAGTATAAAAATTCGAAAAGTTTGATCAGGATGCATGTTTTCAAGATTGATAATTGAACTCGGAACGGAAGTAAACACTGAATCGTACACAACGCCATCTCGCGACATACTGCCAAAGTATCTGTGAGATATTTGTGCAATAAAATTTATTTGAATTTGACAGACAGTATTCACTTGCGTACGTGTGAACGCTCCGACTCAAACCAGCCCGAGCCAAATTTAGCCTGAGCCAAATTTAGACCATGCAATTAGCTCGAGCCAAACCATTACCGTGTGAACGCGGTATATATATCGTAGTATCTCACCCATACTGGTGCCAGCGTTAGAAAGAGATTCGATCACCATCTCAGAAGAGGGTATAGAGAGGGTCGAGAATGTATAGAAACTGTTAGCGCTATTAATAAGCAATTTGTAGTTTGCTATTGGAATCTAAAGTAGATTAAAATAGAGCAATGATTCATGCTAGCAAGTGCTTTTAACCATTTTAAATTAAGTTAGCAATGCAATTACTTGCACACACACACACGCACGCACGCACACATATTTAAAGATTTTTTAACGTATCATTTAAATGTTACTGGGCAGTTGATGCTAAATATTCACACGGCATAGACTTATGGCTGACCAACATTGCCTAGATTGTGTGTCAATAACCAAGTTATCAATATCAACCACAATAAATGTGGCCAGTAGTTCTAAACGAGGCAATTAAACTCTTAAGTGCTTAACTTAATTATCAGAGATAACAAAAAGACAGGAAATTAGTTAAAAGATCACGTGCAAAAAGAATGTAAGAAAACAGGTGAAGCCATATATATATATATTGCAGCTTGCATTGATAGGTCTTTCATCAGAAGCTTTACAGACTTTTTACCCTCTTATCTTTTCAACAAATAAACGGATTTCCACTAGACACATCTGCACTGGTACAGAGTCGCCATTGTCTAATTTAACTAAAAAGCAAAAACATCACATTTCAACATCCCTACAATGCAAACCATGGCATCACGGCACGTGTACATCGCATTTTCACGTCCCTGGCGACCTTGTGAACATTGCAGTGGCTTCCTATCTCATTTAATCACCTATCAGTTGAAATAACCCTGGATTTCAACGATTGTATGGCAGAGAACTACCATCCATGGGTGGAATTCAACGATTGCACAACAGAGACCTACCCTGGATTTCAAGGATTGTACAACATAGACCTACCCTGGAATTCCACTATTGTACATCATAGAACTACCCGTGGAATTCAACAATTGAATAGCAATAGAACTATACCCTGGAATTCAACGATTATACAGCATAGAACTATCCTGGAATTCAACGATTGAATAGCATAGAACTACGCTGGAATCCCACTACTGTACATCGCAGAACTACCCTGGAACTCCACCAGCCACGCAGCATTTCACGACTGAATCCCCGCTACGTCACCTCGGAATCCGACCGAGGGAGGGAAACTCACCTTGACCGTGAAGACGTTGAGCAGACTGAGTCCGTACAGCGACATCCCGATCGAGACTGCGTTGAACAGCGTCCCGACGACGGCGTACAGCAAGATCGTTCCGATGTTGTCGAAGAACGCGCGCGTCGGCATGAAGTACCCGGCGTCGAGAACGATCGGCGGCAGCAGGAAGAGGAAGAACGTGTCGCTGCTCATGCGCTGGTTGGCGCTCGACTGGCCGTACCGCGCCGATGAGAAGTAGATGATGATGCCGACGAAGATTCCGAGTAGCACCAGCATGCAGCTCTCCGGGATGATGCGGCGTAGCCGGCCGGACAGGTGGAAACCTGCGACGCGCGACAAGTAGAAAGAAAGAGTTAATGAGAAGACGACGTTTCACTGTCCTCGTCCTATGTTCGTGCAATAAATGGACAGCGTAAGTTCATCTGCAGTCGCACAATTATCTAGTGAAGTTGAATACAAAAAGTTCCAGGGCTTCGTAGAATCAGCTGCATTTTAATGGAAGGTGTTTGTACATGACATGCCTGTCACATCCTAACAGCTATACATCTCTAAACACTGCAGCTGTATTAAAGGCATGTAGGCAAGAACTTTACACTCAATTATTGAAACTCAGGACCATCTTCATGTATATATAGTTGAGGTTTATTCGCGGTTGGCCTACTCCCATTTCGCCTACGTACGGCAAAATTCCCACTTCGCTTACGCAAAATTCCCAGTTGGCCTACACCCATTTCGCCTACTCCCAATTCGTCTACGCTCAAAATCTACCCCATTCCCATTTCGTCTACGATAGGTTTGTTCACTAAGTAATCATTTATAAATAATAAAATATGGTTTTGATAGGCATACACAGACTACAGGAACCAGAAGTAAACATAGGTACAAATAATGAGAACTAAAATAGAAAATACACTTAGTATAAAAATTAAACAATTTGGGAGTATGCGAAATGGGAATATTGCCAATTCTGAGAGTAGACGAAATGGGAGTAGGCGAAATGGGAGTAGGCCAACTGGGATGATAGTATGTCACCATAGTTGGGTTAAACGGTTAAAACCCCTTGGTACGTGGTAACATTGGAACCTAGCTCATGCAGAATATTAGAAAATGTTTGATTTTGTGTGATCATCAATGCAGCCTATCTAGAATTTACACAACCCACCTGTTTACATAATTATTTCAGTAAACAGTACTAAACACATACGAGAAGAGAAATGACAAAGTATAGAACTGCTTCAGGCAACTCGGTGGATACAGGTGGTGCGCGTAAAACTACCAGCTAGCCGCCAGCTGTCCTCATGTGGAAAACATGTGTGCACCTGGCATATAGTGGATATTACGTTCTCTTCGCTCTACAACAGCAAGCTGTGATTTCGCCTATATGCAGTACACACATATAGATGCTTAAATCAAGAGTCCATAATTAATAGAGACTCTCAGTTATGATAAATAGAGTCTATAATACAGGGTTCTGCCCAAGGTGGGCGGCAGTGGGCGGGTGTGCCCAGCACTCGCGGTTGCCGCCCGGCACTATATTATATATATCTCCGCCCGGCACTAATTTTTGATATTATTTGATATAATTTTTTATTGCTCCGAATGCAGGAAATTGAGTTTCAGACTATCCAAAATAAAAAAAAATTTCGGGGGGCATGCCCCGGACCCCCCTAGATTAGCTTCGCGCCTACGGCGCTTGCATCTTGCGACCTGGATGCGCCCGGCACCTAAAAATCCTGGACTAAAGAACCCTGTATATATGAGAGTATCTATTATAGTATATATATATGAGAGTATGATACTATCTATAGATATATATGAGTGTCTCTATAATAGAGTAGAGTCTCTATTGTGGGCTCTTGATGCGTATAAATAGCAATTACCCAATCTGTTATTTCCTTTTCAGTGCAGGTGACGTATAAATACATGCATTTGCTTTCATCCTCATTATCCATAAAAAATTATTCACACTCAACTTTCTATGAATTACTAAAACATAGTCTGACTAGGTACACTGATAAAGGTTTGTCTCTGTAGATATTCTATTGAGAAATCAATACTATAGTCAACATCTAGGGATCATACATCTCTCACTATTATTTATACTGGCATTATGGGACAACTGATATATATACATATATAATATCTAGCATAGATTAAGAATGTAATATATGATAATGATAGCCCTAACCCCAACAAAAATAATATACGTTTACTCTATCTCCTAACCTTCCAGGATAGAAATTTCACATCATTGCTATGAGAATAAAAACACCCCATGTAATGAATTACACCACTCACCACTCCGCTGTAATATATCACATACTTACCTACATCCACTATAAACATACAATATCTACTATACCCATATGAGTATATCAACCGCTGTACATAATAGAGACCTCTATTATGTACTCTTGATATATATATCGTATAAAAATTTCATCATCATATATTGACACTATTCATTGTTGCAGTTTTTCAATGTCACAGAAATGGTAAGTTAGCTTATTGATTCATGCGAGTTTAATTGCTTATGCATGCAGTCAATTGCCACTTTTGTTCATTTATGCAAGCTTGATTATATTTTTTGATAACTACAATTACAAATAATATAACACAGGCAAACATTATCAATGCACTGGCAGCATTGAGGTGTTGTGGCAGCATTGTGGTGTTGTGGCAGAATTGTGTGTGGTGGCGAGCCATTGGAACGTGTTGTGGCAGCATTGTGGTGTTGTGGCAGCATTGTGCTGGGGCAGCATTGTGGTGTTGTGGCAGCATTGTGGTGTTGTGGCAGCATTGTGTTGTGGCGAGCTTTGCTGGTGTGTGCGAAGCATTTGTGGGTGGTTGTGGCACGCATTGTGGTGTTGTGAGGGCAGCATTGTGGTGTTTGGTGGCAAGCAATTGTGGTGTTGGGCAGGCATTGTGGCGGTGGGACAGCATTGTGGTGTTCGGGCTAGCATTGTGTTGTGGGCGGCATTGTGGTGTTGTGGGCAAGCATTGGTGGCTGGAGGCGAGGGCATTGAGCGTGTCTTGTGGACACATTGTGGTGTGTGTGGCAGACATTGTGTGTGTGGCCACGGCTTTGAGGGGTGGTTGTGGCAGCATATGTGGTGTTAGTGGCAGCATTGTGTGTTGTAGGGCATGGGGCAGTTGGTGCTGGTGGCTGTGCCGAGCATTGGTCGGTGTAGGTGGCAGCCATTGTGGGTGCTGTGGCAAGGCATTATGCTGGGGGGCATGCATCTGGGTGAGTTGTGGCCAGCATTGTGCTGGGGGCCAGCAGTGTATGCTGGGCAGACCATCTGTGGTGTTGGTGGCAAAAGCATTGGCTGGTGTTGTGGCAGCATTGTGGTGTTGTGGCAGCATTGTGGTGTTGTGGCAGCATTGTGGTGTTGTGGCAGCATTGTGGTGTAGCAACATTGTTGGTGGTGTGGCAGCATTGTGGTGTAGCAACATTGTTGGTGGTGTGGCAGCATTGTGGCGTAGCAACATTGTTGGTGGTGTGGCAGCATTGTAATTTGTAGCATTGCCAACATCATATAATACAAGCATCTCAGATAATGCATATGACTATGAGGGTTCCGGCTTTAGTGTTTGTAGCGCATGGAAGGTCTACATTATAGCTGGAAAATTCTACAGCATTTTGTACTGATATATATGTTTTGCATGTATGTGTATATTCCCGAAATAATGCAGTTTTAGGTGGTTTAATATACATGTGGTATTTTCGTGTACATTACACATTAGGAATGTTATGCTAACCAATTAATATAAATCTTGAGTGATAATAATGTCCACTACTAGTACTAGATAATCTCCGGTACAGTGGCACTATTCACATTGACCGATTTACGTGTTTCTTTTATGCCACCAAATTAAAAACGTAGTTATCACATAAATATGATATAGTTACAAGCTGAGCCCGAATAAAATTAAAAGAAAAGAAAAGTGATCGCCTGGAGATCGACGGTGAATAAATGATTGATTGATTGAATGAATGAATGAATGAATGAATGAATGCATGAATGAATGAATAAACTAATCAATCAATCAATGAATCAATCAATGAATGAATAAATGAATGAATGACTGAATGAATGAATGAATGAATGAATGAATGAATGAATGAATGAATCAATGAATGAATCAATGAGTCAATGAATGAATGAATAAATTAATATCGAACGTTTTCACATACCTGTTTTACATAGACTAGCAAACAATATCCATAGCGATATGACATATGGCAGTTCCACATGATGCCAGGCAAATCCGGCCACTTGGTACCTCGTCTCTTCCTTCTCACCACTGTGATCAGACGCATTTGCGAATGAAAAGTTAGCAGTCGATGGATCGTTCTCGTAAATCTCTCCAATTTCGTTGATTTCACTGTGATGACCCGGCTGATTCGTGTTGGCGAACACACATGCACTGTGTAGAACAACTAGCGCGATTTCACGAATCATTTTCTCACAATCGCTATACACATATCAGCACATATCACTACGATGCTACATCGCCCGGTTCCTCTTCCATGTCTTCCTCATCCATGTTTTCAGCTGGTCATGGTGCATGCGCAAACCGGGGCAAATCGATCGTAGCGCCGTCGTGAGAGATTCATTGGCAAACACCGCGCACACGCACCTCTGCGCATATATATGCCTCTGCGCACCATCTTCGCGTCTAACTAACGGGTCTTTAGTCTTTACGTACACATTAAAATAGGAAGAACAGGATTTTAACCGAAATCTGTGACAGTTTCTGTTTATCATGGACGCCCTTAGTGTCGATATCAACGTGTATATTGATATGGATTGAGAAGCAGGAACGCATTTAAGTTGAGAGGATTTCGAAAATCACCGTCGCAGCGGAATTACTGTCGAAGTAATTTCTTGTGACACGGTACATGTCAAAGGTTGTTGTTGGCGCGGAAGATTATTTCTAAATTTGGCACAAACAAATGAAGAATTCTGGAATAACATGAAAACGTTGCAGTCAGGTATGACACATAAGATTACAAATCTGCCGCTTCTAGTTTCACTCATACGGTTATCTCGTTTGTTGACCAATCTGAATGAGAAAAATTGGAGCAGTCCGTACGACGGTATACGTCGTGTGGTGTACGGTGTACCGTACGTACTACTACTACTAGTACTAGTACTACTACAGTACTAGTACTACTACTAGTACTACCTAGTACTAGTACTACTACTACTAGCGGTAGCATGTGTTGCTGTGTATGGTGTTACTGTTACTGTTAGATAAATGCAGGGCAATGCCAATGACATGTGTATATTGTCATGTATCATTGTATGTAATAACGGCGTTATTAACGCAACCACACGTGACCTTTGCTGAACGTGAAACACTAACACTACTCACTAGGCCTATGATGTTCAAGTTGTGATCAGCGCCAGTGCTATATACCCACACCCCCATGAGTAATGGGCTGCCCTTGTTTTTTCTGTGGTCCGTTCCTCGTGGGAGCAGAGCGAGCAGTACCGTTGCCCAGTTTCAACATAGTTTGAGCTATAGCCCTGTGGCAGAGCGAAGGGCTAGCTATAGTTCTAGAACTAACCAACTTCATGCTTATGCATCTATGCACTATGCACTATGCAACTATGCAACTATGCAACTATATATATGCATCTACTCACCTTGCACGAACTAGGAATTTTCTTAGTGATACTTACCAAATCATTTGATAAAACCATCAAATTTCCAAAAGTGCCACATAAAACATCAGTAGATTTTTTTGCTAATATTCAATAGGTTATTATAACATATCAGAAGTAGATAATAGGGAATGAGTGTGACTTCAATAAACAAGGGAAATTCGTCATTTACTAGCCTTAGACGTTTTTAATTATGCGCTTAAAGGTTATTTTTGTTAAATAAAATTGAGAAAAAAGAAAGAATGTAATAGTTGGTTAAGAGTTTTTATTGGCAAAATAATGAAAATATAAAAAATAAGATAAACATTTCAATATTTTGGGAATCAAATCAAAGGAATCGATCGAGAGGCTCATATCAAGATCGGATCGAATCGAGAGGGCTTGGGTGTCGTTAATGCTCCTAGGCATACCAGCTGTAAATAGGCTCAAGATCAGCTCGTCAAGTTTTGGCGTCGATGTCCAATCTCCCATGCGAGGCGCACGCGCATCGCCGAGGGCACAAGAGTGGCGCAAGAGTGCGTTAGTAGCTGCTATTGTTTCAAAGTTAGGCGGGTTATGGGATTTGGTTGCTGCCACAGAATGGAGAATCGTGTCGTACGTTTTAGTCTGTATCTTCAGATTGCGGGTGTATACGAGGAAACAATTTCGGCACGATGCTAGGCGAATGTACTGTGTAATCATTTGAGCTCAAGTTGGTTGAGTTACGCGTAGTAAATCGTAGGTATTCTAGAGGCTAGTAAATGACGAATTTCCCTGTTTATTGAAGTCACACTCATTCCCATTTATCTACTTCTGATATGTTATAATAACCTATTGTAATATTAGCAAAAAAATCTACTGATGTTTTATTGGGCACTTTTGGAAATTTGATGGTTTTATCAAATGATTTGGTACTTATATCACTAAGAAAATTCCTAGTTCGTGCAAGGTGAGTAGATGCATAGTTGCATAGTTGCATAGTGCATAGTGCATAGATGCATAAGCATGAAGTTGGTTAGTTCTAGAACTATAGCTAGCCCTTTCGCTCTGCTACAGCCACAGGCTATAGCACACAGGGGCGGCGCCAGGTTTTCCAAAGTGGGGGGGCCCAATTGAGAGAATGAAGCGACCATGCCGGGGGGGCGTTGAGTTATTCGGGCGCGAAGCGCCCGAGCGAGGAGCCAGACGACTGAGCGGGGGTGGGTGTGTGCTCCCCCTCCCACGACAGGGAGCTTTTTCAATTTTGCACCTG